TTCTGGGTGTTACTCTTTTTATTGAACTATGATTCCAGGTTGTTTCATGAGAATATGGAACAATTTACCTATTGATATTAAAGATTCTTTTGTTTGTGATAGCTAGGGTATTTTCAAAGAGAAAATTAAATATTATTTTAGACAATTTCCTTCATGGGATTGTTAATTGCTTTTCCTCCAATTGTATTTTTTGTTATAAAAAATTAATTTTATATATTTGATAAATCTATTTTGTTATCTATTTAATCTAGACTTTTCTTTGTTAAATTGCAAATATCTTTTTTATTTATCTGTGTCTAATATTGAAAATGGAGTCAGAGGGGCACACCATATCCTGTGATAGTAGTTTTTATACTGCTTTTGCCACTCCTCAGCCCTCCTCTTTCTTTATTAATTTTGTTGTTGTTGTTATGGCTGGAAGGAATAAAATAAAAAATGATCGAGAAACTACATACAGTAATTAGAATACTATAGTCAAACCTTTTGTGAAAATTTTACATCACAAAATACAGGTTTGAAGCCATTTATCAGCGAAAAAACTCATTTTGTGGTTTTGTGTAATAATCAACAAAAAGGCATGCACCAACTGACCATCTGTGATGTCATGTCTCTTGATATAGCTGTCTGGATCTCCCCCAACACCCACCTTGCATTCACGGAAATTCGCATTCACCACCCTTTTTTGAATCCAATTTATGCAGTGAATCAAACAATGATCCGCAAAAAAATTGTCTGAAATCTTGACGACGAAACTTATAAATTAATCAAGGAGTGAAAATACAAGAGTACATTTATTGGTGGTGACAATCACAGAGTGGAGATAATTTATTTGAACCACATGGCTGCCGGGCTAGGCCTAAGCTAGTCCTAGGGCCTGGTAGGCCTAGGCATTTTTTGATAATTGTCTCTCGTCATTCATCATCAGTCATCATACACACGTCATTATTAATATTAGGGCCCTAGCCTAGGCTAGCCCTGACGTAGACAATACTACGGCCTATTATAGATTGGAGGTACACTTACAGTAATTTCTTATCAGCTGAACAAATATTTAACCATCGGGTAAAATCAGCAAGCATATTTCCTAGGCCTAGGTAGGCCTCTATCTATATCCCATCTAAAGCTAGCTGCCAAAAGCTTGCAATAGCACCGCAGTGTTTATGTTCACTAACTTCTCAATGCGTGTTGAGTGTTTATGTGTCAAAGGTTATTGACTGTGTCTTGAGGGCGTAAACTTTTTTTTAAGATAAAATCATTTTTATTGGCTTTTGCCAATGCTGTATAGCAAATGTTGATAATTGATTGTGTTATGTTTCTTTGTTTGACGGATAATAGCCCATTGATGGCTTTTGTAGCAAATAAATATTGAATTGAATTGAATATTGAATTGAATTATTGAATTAAACATCAAGATTCATGATTTAATTTGCATAAAAAATAATACAAATATACTTTTATTTTTATTTTATTTTTTTATTTATTACGCTTCATCACTGCACAGAGATGACATATACAATAGGAAAACACAACGTACAGCAGCGAAAAGGAAGGGATGAACAGGTGACAAGCACCTCTGTCTACATCCCCCTTGAACAAATAACCTCACAATCAAAGATACAAGAAAACAAATAAATAAATAAATAAATAAATATATATATATATATATATATCATATATATTATATATATTAAATTCCAAAAAAAGATAATTACTGTATTTAATTATTTTTATTATTAAATGACATAGAAAAATATAAAATAAATTATTATAAATTAATTTTTATTTATAAGGTTAAATATTATAGAAAAACGTACAAAATACATTGGGTATAAAAAACGAAGAAATAGTTAAATTGCAATTTTTTAGTTATCCTTAGACATATGAAATTACATACAAAATTACAGAAATAAGTAAAACAGATGAAAAATAAAGACTAATATAAAAATATGCAAAAAAAAATGTACAAACATAAGAGGAGTAATATTGTTTGATATTTATTTGTCAATATATATTTAATTTAATTTTATTTTTTTTTTTTTTATATTAAATTAACAACAATAAACCAAGAACATCAAAAAAATAGCACAGAAAAGACTTTTGCGTTCCAATGAAAACAGAGAGTAAACATTCCCACACAGGTGGCATGACACACTCAGCAATGTCTCACAGCGGGCAGCGGCAACGAGATACCCACGTGCAAATATCAGCGGGATCAAAATATACAACGATATGTAATTAATTATGAAAAGTATGTTGCAGGATGAGGACTAATAATTACGGTACATAATTGTGAATAACTATAAAAGTTTATGATGTTGGTCTAAAATAATTTGTTGCCTTTCTCTGTATCCTGTTTGTAGTTTCATATTGTGAAAAAGAAAGAAAATAAAAGAAAGAAATTAAATAAAGAAAGGGAAAATGAGAATTAAAGACTGAATTAATTCGTAGAATAAAATTGGTAGAAAATATTGAAGAAAAAAAAGAAGTATCTCAGCCTAATTGAAAGAAAAAGAAAAAGAAAGGAATGGTAAGTATATATCTAAGGAATGCACGACCGCATGATTCTCCTTAAATGGTTAAATTAGTTTAAATATTTCAAAATAATGGCTATTTTTTCTAAATTAATATGTATTCACAACATAATATAATATAATACAATATAAGTTAATATAATGTAATATAAGAATATCATGAGATGTAATATGCCAACTAGATTTCCTAGTCAATGGCTGCCAATAACTGATATTCAGTGGCTAAATTTATTATTATTATTATTATTATTATTATTATTATTATTATTATTATTATTATTATTATTATTATTATTATTATTGTATCACATTGTTCTTCGTTGTACGTCGGCTCTAACTAGCGCTGTTCCTGAACCGCAAGTGAAAAAAACTAAGAGTGAAATACCCAAAGCGGATTCGAGTGGCCAGTGCTGTTTTTCAGATGCTTTAATTAACATTTTAGTGTTATATTTAGTAGGCCACTTGCGGTACATGGCCGATTTAACGCAATTTTTGTCAATGCGCATTTAGGACGGGTACTGTACTACTCGATACACCATACGTAGGATAATAATAATAATGATGATGATGATGGTGACGACGACGACGACGACGACGGCGGCGACGACGACGACAACAATAATAATCTCTCTCATCATTCTTTATATCTCATATAAATTTACAAAAGAATGTATATAAAAACCCAGGTCAATAACTGAAAAATTTCAGATGCATGCAGGGTAAAACAAAATTTACGGACAATTCACAAAACGATTTTTGATTCAGTAAACTGATTAAAAATTTCAATTAACCAATTTTTTTTATAAATTTCAACAAGTGAAGTGTCATCCCACATGGTTATGACGGGCGTTCCATAATGTGTAACTTGTTAAAACAGCAATTCTACTTAGGTTTTTCTATAGCACTATACTCTTTTCATTATTGCTAAATATATATATTTTAATCTCTTTGCGTTATTTGCTGTTACGATCACTCTACTTCCCACTTCTATACAGAATAATTCGCATTTAAAGCCCTTAGCTTTAAGCTCATCAACTAACTGGCTATACTTAACAGTTTTCCTCCCATGTGCCTTTTCATTATTGGTCTAATTGGGCTGTTAATTCAATTATTTTAATTTCATTATCATTCAGAATAATCATATCGGGCTTTAAATTTCAATAATATGAATATCGGGTGGAACAGTCCCTCCACCGTTAGAGTACGGTACCCAGGAAGGTCTGCGAATACCATACCTTCATTATTCAATTCGGAGAACTTAACGAGATTGTCAAGTACACTATTATGTCTCCATGTGAGTCGCCCTTGCTCAAGAGAAATTTAACAGGAGTTAAGTACATGGTTAAGGGTCTCCAACCCTCCACATTTCCACACATTTTGCACTTGTCGTTGACTCTTTTACCTCAATTTCTTAAATTGCTTAAACATGGCACGGAAGTCGATGGAGGAAAGGACAGCAAAACTTAACACTCCTCGTGGAAGATCGAATATTAAGGATCTCCATGTTAAATCTCATGATTCTAGATTTAGTAATTTCAGAAGGTTACCTTGTTGAAGAAGTGGCTTGATATAATCGTTCCAAAATTGAACTCGATCGTCATATATAATTTGTTTTAATTTGGGACCAGTTTTTGTCTTGTACATTTAAACTGAAGTATAAGTCTCATGCCACTTCCTCGATCCACTTACTACCATTTTTTAGACCATTGAGATTCACGATTCAGTTTACATTTAAGAGCATGAATAACTCTCTTATCTGCTTTAACCATGCATCAGTCAAGTAGACCAAACAACATAGATATAATAATATATTGAGAAAACAAAAACTGAAATGAAAACATTCAGGTGACATTGTTATTTTAATAAACCTCAAATTGAAATTGTTCTGTTCTTCACACTTACTTCGAGAACTGTGTAGTGAATATTAGGTGTGGGTTGGAATAAAAATTAAGTACCGTATATTGTTCCCTTCACTTTGAACTGTGGGGGGTGTGGATGATGTATCCTTCAGGTTCCCCACCGATCGACACCCTGTAAATGTCAGCAACAACAACACATTTTATACTTTTTACCTACTGTAACACCAAATAGCCATATTGTTATTTGCTTCAATGTGATAATAATAAGTTTATATCCAAGATCTACATACAAGCTCCGTGGAGATGTATTGATTCCCACAGCGCCATCATGATGTTTATATGTTTATCATGCTGCTACTTGTGTAATGCGCCCATGTTTCGCTGTTTGAAACATATTTTCCGATCATAAGCTTTAGCTTATTACTTTATCTTTAGGCGCAACTTGTTTTTTTGACTTCCATAATATTATTTATTCCACTTTATCATCTATACGGTATTCATTTAGTAATACATAATAATATGATTAAGTACAGAAAATATATAGGTTGTATATACACATGTGGCCTCCCATATCATTAGCGCCCTCTCTTTCCTCGGGATGTTCGTGAAAAGTGTGTTGTGTGTACACTGTGTGATGTGGTCAATGGATTATGTGTTTTTGCGCGAGAGCTTATCTAAAGTTTTGATCCATCTAGCGGAAATAGGACGTGGTCTACCGCCGTGAGTGGCACGGGTGACTTCTGGCTAGAGCTAGGTGAAGTCCCAGTTTGCGGCTCTACGTATTGTCATTACATTCTTTTTTGTTGTGCAATTATAACATTATGATTCGTAGGAAATCTCGCCTCCTTTTGCTTATTGTAGCTGCATGGGTATTAGGTATGATCGTGTATATGTACAACTCCAGTGATGAGCCAAACGTGAGTCATTTCGATTTATCTAACTCTTCTTTTGTGTGTGTGTTTTTATTTTAAAGTTCAGGCTTAGGCATTTGCTGGGCCTGGCCTACCTAGGCCTAGGTAGGCCTACTATATGCCTCCTTTGACTAGGCCTAGGTCTTGCCAGCCAAGTTCCTACCCAGGCCAAACGAAGCCGAACACAGGAAACAAATTAAGCTTACGTACAGACACAGTTTTTATTAATTCATGGCATTGGCCGGAGGTCCTGGCCTAGGCCCTAGCTAGGCCTAGTAAGTAGTAGGAAATATTCTCTGCTGGGGTTAAGGGATGAAGCTCACTTTATCTGAAGCAATCATGTAATGTAAATGGTAAATTTTATCATCATTTTACAAGTTGTTGATGCAAAAAGAGTTTGTTTTGTATGAGAGGGGATCTCTCGTAAAGGGAGGATCGTCATAGAAACTGAGGACGAGTCTGGCTGCCAAGGAAAATCGCCTTGAGTGGTTTAGAAGTCAACCAATGTTGATCTTTAGGGAGCTTTTGATAGCATAGGTAGGACCTACTGTACTGTACAATGTAAATTACTTCACTAATGTGTAACTTGTACATGCAAGAACATTGAATTCTCCTTGTCGTCTGGATTCTTGCACCCAATTTCAGGGGTGCAATTTTTTGTAAAGTGAAAAAAAGGGTAAATAGGATAGAAAGAAAGAAAAAAAAAATTGATTGTCCAAAATGCCTCAGAGGTTATTTTCAGGCATCTAGAGCACAATATTTTCATGGGGGCATGCCCCCGGACCTATTAGGGTAGTGTTATCTCAATCTGCCCCACTTTCGGTCCTTCTTTCAGCCTCCCTTTTTGACCTTTCTGGATCCACCCCTGAATTTGGCCGAATCTATGTTGCGCAGAGAACATAGTCGTACAGTCCTGGATGAGTGAATCTGTCCTAGCATTGTGTCGTCCTGCAAATCAAATGCTACCTGTTACTGGCGTCCTAATAATTTTGAAAAACACCTCATTATTTACAAAATTGTCCACAGATCAATAAATGTTTCTGAATTGTTATGCAAATTTCAAAGTATGATAAATTTTATCATAAAAATATGACTCATAATTATTTGAATTAATTATCATCAGGATTTGTTTACTTTCACCCGAGGGGATATATTTCCTGGGGAATAGACTACTAAAAATAAACTTATTATGTGAATTGGTAGAACAGTAAGAAGATGTTTTCAATTGACTGAATTTGCATGATGTTGGTAAGTTATCAGCTAAGCAACTTTTTCCTAGTAAAATTTATTTATTTATTCAGGTATAACAAATAAATTTACAACAAGCAGCTATTCAGTATATTTAATACAAAATCAGAACATTCAATACAAAAATATTATTAAAAAATATTTATATAAAAATATAAGATACATTACATTAGATCTATATACAAAAATCTATTGAAAAATCAATTTATATCATTTTGATTTACAGAATGAAAGCTTATTTATATATATATATAATTAGTTTTTAAAAAAACACCAAAAAATACCAATGCTTTAATCATTATTTGACAATCACTGGAACGGCCAAACCATTTAGACATTTAGTTTGACAAAGTGGGACGTGCCGCATTTGTGTGCTCCTAAGAGCTCTGTCATGGTCTTGATAAGATGGAAGTGGATGGAAACGACCTAAAAATTTCAGGGTTAAGATTTTTTACCAAAAGAGAATAGGAGATGTTTGCAATTCAATAAATGCTACCCTGCCTTGTTCATCTCCTCTGTTCACAATCCATTCTATTTTTACATAGTATTCTGAATACAGATCAAAGAGCATGCAATTTATAGGAATAATATTAAATGAAATTTGAATAAATGAATCTGACATTAACTATTATTGAATAGACAATGTTTGGCCGTCTGGAAATCAACCAATGCTTGTCTTACAATCGCAAAGTACATTAAACACAGGCAATGCTTTCAGGTCACATAATTATGTGTTCGTGAATAGCGCAATACATAAAGTTATTAAGGAAATTAATGAGTTAATATACAGTGACACAATTACGTAGCTCCCCATCTGATCAGTGTATATCAGCAATAAATGAGAAAATATGTAATTCGGAGAGTTCAGGTTTTCATAATGGCAGTGTGGCAGCTGAACTTTTTCTCACGACTAAAAATAACTGGCTGATAAAAGCATTACATTATTTTATTTATTTAAAGATGGCTCCTGAATATCAGCCGACCTTCTAGTGTATGCTGGAAGGGTTGCCTTCTATAAATATGGTAAAAAATTATGGTATAAAAAAAGGCTCTAGGCATATGCTGTTCAGATCGAAGCATTGCAGACATGAGCATAATAATTATGGTGCTTAGATCAGCCAAGAATTTTTTGCTAACTTAAAGTTCCTTACTGCCGCCAGGCCTTATTGTGCTATCACTAGTCTACTGTTAGAGATGAAAAACTACAGTATGTATAAAATACTTGTGCAAGTTTTTAAAAATGTCAATAACAATATGTTTAATGAGCGAATTTTTTTGGTCCTTGAGAGAGGTCATTAACTTGTGCGAGTCTCATGGAAAATTGCATGAGACTTGGTAGGTCTGATAGTACTAAAATCAAAGGAACTAAAACTGTTAAACATAAACAGGAAAAGGAAAACCACTAAGTACACACAATAGCAAAGTTTACATTATTATTACTGTGCTGTACCCTATATAATTGTCAGTGCATTTCGCTTGTGTCCTTGAGCAAGGCACTTCATCTGTGTTGCTTCTGTCCACCTAGGAGTATAAATGGGTACCTAGTTGGGTTTCCTGCTAGTGCTACTACTGTACGCCAATTTGGCAGCAACACTTAAGCATGTGTGAGGACCCAATAACCAGGGAAAACAAACCGCTTCGTAACCTAAAGAAAGGAAAAGGCACTATGTAAATGTTTAGTTAGTATTAAATGAAAAGGAATTTTTTATCTTAATTCTGTAACTTTATTTTAAATGTAAAAAAAAAATCAATGAAAACCCAAAAAATTAAGAGGAATTTTTTCGTAATTCTATGCCTTATAGAAAAACAAAGCAAAGCTTTGTGTGACTAACACTACAGTACCCCAAGATTCATTACAGAACTCATCCATCTATATGCTAAACCCTGCATACCTCCAAAAAAAAAAACCGCAAACCCCATCCAAACCTTGTGATAATGATTGAATCACATAGTATAGGTTTCAACTTGGTATCTCAATAAAAAAAATCTTAATTTTATGGGATGGGGTTTGCACTGTTTTGGGGGGTTTGTGGGGTTTAGCAATTTTTTTATACAAAAAATGGTCTTTCTACCCCAAAAATAGGTTGTGACGAACATAAAATTATGATTTTTTTTTTATTAAGAAGATACCAAGTGGAGTCCTATACTATGAGATTCAATCACTATCACAGGGTTTGGATGGGGTTTGCACTGTGTTTTGGGGGGTTTGCGTGGTTTAGCAATGTTTTTATACAAAAATGGCATTTTTACCCAAAAAGTAGGTTGTTACAGAGGGAACATTATAATTTTTTTTTACTGAGATACCAACTGAGTCCTATACTACATGATTCGATCACTATCACAGGTTTTGGATGGGGTTTGCACTGTCTTTTTTGAGGTTTGCGGTGTTTTTTTCTAAGGTATTTTTAACAAGAAATCAATATTTTTCTCCAAAAATAGGTTGTTATGAACATAAAATTATATTTTTATTTACTAGGATACCAAGTAGAGTCTTATACTGCATTATTCAATCACTATCACAGGGTTTGGAAGGGGTTTGTGGTGTTTTTTTTTGGAGGTTTGCGGAGTTTAGCAATACCCTATGAGCCTAAAACGACCTTGAGATCATTCTCAGAGTTTCTATAACACTCTGTCTGCCCTTCAACACAGTTTTATGGATGTCAGTCATTTTCTCTGTGCCTCGGTTGCCCTTTGGAATTGACCATGGAGAAAGAAACTATACAGTAGAATGACTTACCAACCTATATTTGACAAGCAAACTAACATCAACGCATTCAAACTACAACTCAAAACACGTCTTTTTAATGTACATTTTACTTAATTTTGGATTTTTATTTCTAATGTAAAGCGCATTGATTGAGGCTTTTAGCAAAGTGTGCTCGATCAAGATTAAACTACTGTATTATTATATAAATATGAGAAATGTTTTTCAAAATAAATAATTTATGCAAAGTGAAAAGAGATATATTACAAGAGTCACATCTTAGTATTGATGCAAATGGTACATAAACACGCACATTCTTGAACAAGTACTGTATGATTCTATTAGCATTATGAAATTACCCTTATTAAGCAATATTCTGTCCAAGCTAGAAATTTACAGTTATTTATGCTGGAGGAATTATGCACCGGTAATAAAGGAGAATTAAGAATAGGCTGATATATCATGTGATAGCCGAACCTGGCTTTAACAACGCCGACACCATCAATTTAACGTGATGAATGTAAATATATTCAGCATATCAATCCAGTCCATTATGAGACCGGCAGTGAAATTTGTCACGGCAATTGATATACTTTAAGCGTTAAAACTCGGTTCTATATCTTTCGTATTTAGAAGTTGATGCATTCGTCTGGGTTGACATTTTAGAGCTAGACTAAGTAGGCCACTATGGGATTAAGGTTATATGATTGCTTTTTGGTTTCTCAATACAAGCTGTTTTTATGTGCCATCACAACAGAATATATTGTAATATACTCGCAAATATACCTGATAAGATAGATTTTTTTTTTAAAATAAATATTTGTTCAAAATTAAATATACATGCATGGTATTTAACAAATATAATCAGTAGGCCTAATTTAAAGTAAAAATAATAATACAATATAATATGGTAAAATAAGTAACAAAACTTTAAAAAAATATATTTTTGGGAAAAACAATTTTTTTTTTTTTTTTTTAAATTAAATAGTAGATATTGTTTGTATTATTTCAATAATGTTTTACTTTAAATATCAATGCACCAGCAAACAAAAAT